AGTGGTGTTTTTTTAGGCATCCCTTCCTTGTTATCGTACGTGAGAAGTGCTGACTCACAGCTCTTCCCTCTCTCCCTGGGACCTCAGAAACAAGGTCAAACGCCTGCTCTGAGCTCTGTTTCCAGTATACAGTATTACAGCCGCCATGTGCCAAAGAAAATCTATGCCTGAGCCCTGAGCCGATCCCTGTGAATGCTGGTGTACATTTGTGACATTGTGATTTACTATATGTTTTAATTCAGCTCTGTGCTTCTTCTGTATCGCCACTACGGAGCTGCCTTCATAAAAGCTCCATGTGGTCAGAGTATATGCCGGCCACACTCATCCTGTACAAAGTGTAGTCTGCGAGTCTGCGTGATCTCGGTGGGCGTGACTGACAGACGAGATCAAGCCATTAAAGAAACGTCGGGTAAAATACTTCCAGCACTTCCCGCTCCGGTTTTGGGGATATTAAATCTTCCAAATGATTTAATGCAGTCAGAAGAGCAGAAGAAGACATCTTTAATGTTGTAGAAAAGGAGGGGGACAGCTTTTGTGTTTATGCAAAGATATCTCACCTCTCGCTCTGATTGAAGAATTTTTGTGAAATGATAGGATGTGAGCAGCCGTCTTAACAGTTCTTCCTTTGACATGAGAAAAGAGCATGTGGCTAACCCAGCTGCTTAAGAGCTAAAAATGTGTCATCTCTCTCAAAAAAAATGTGTATGAATTACGATAAAAGTATCTATTGCTCATCAATGCATCCAGTAAGTGTGTGCTCTGCTGCCTCCCTCACCTCAGCTGTTGCCTCAGTGAATGCTCTGGAGAGGAGAGGGGGAGGTATGAATCAGACTCGCAAGAGAATTCAGTCAGTTCTGTTGAAATGACTCTTGTTACAGGACAAATGATCAACATCCTACTAGAGTTAGGCCATTGGCTAAGGGACAATACAAGGAAATGTTCAAATCTAAATGGTTGTGACTGCTGTATTAGGTTGTATTGTTTGATTAGGTTGGATTATGCATACAGTTACTATACCTAATGAGCTTAAAGTTGAAAACATCTCATTCTGTCAGATGTCTTTCCAAGCCTTAACACTGAGCCATTGTAGCCATGTACAGTATTGGTGAAGCCGACAGTGAGAACGCTGCTGCTCTGCGACCTTGTGCTTCAGTGTTGAATTAAGCTGATAAGAGCTGCATTCAAGTCGGCTGCACACCTGCTCACGCCGACACTCCAAGACCCCAGGCCACATTATGGAAGCGTTCTATGAAGATGACAAAGAGAGATACTTTGGGACTTACAGAAAATGTGGAGGAGAGTGAGCTGTCGGGATGGGACTAGGCCGTAGACTTTTAAGATGCTGCTAACCCCCAAACTTCAATTCAGTGCTTATGATTTAAGTTTTGCTCCAACTCGCTCTGGCTCCTGAAAAGTAAACTGCTCAGTGACCGTTTGTGTGACATTCACCATTTTGGGATTAAAGTATTTGTTTAGCGCTCTCTGTGAACCTGTTGATTATAATTGGGATATTGTCTTAACTTGTTTTGTTCAGCATGAATAGGTGCTATACATATAAACTTGCCTTGCCTTTGTAAGTAAGTAAGTAAGTAAGTAAGTAAGTAAGTATTTATTTATATACCGCCTTTTCACTGCAGATCTGAGTCTCAAAGCGGTTTACAATTGTTAATTTTTGGGCATTTGTCTCTCACTCCACACAGAGATGGGAGCGCGGTCGCCAGTACAGGAGGCGCATGCTAGAACTATTGGACATATTTTTAGTGGTAGGGGAAACCGGAGTACCCGGAGGAAACCTACGCAGACACGGGGAGAACATGCAAACTCCACTCAGAAAGGCCCTGGTCCGACCGGGATTCGAACCCAGGACCTTCTTGCTGAGAGGCGAGAGTGCTATCCACTCAGCCACCGTGCCGCCCATATCTGGATTTGTAAATCCAGATATGAGCCATTAAAGGTTTGACCAATCAGGTGACCTCATTCGTTGGGGAAACTCAGGCTTTCTTTAGCAACCATCTGAGCAACAGGTTAGCTCCTGTTACGCCGCAAATCTAACGGTCGTAACAAACGCCCATATAAGGAAAGTGGCTCAAAAAACGCTATCGGTGACGTCAGCATCGTCCAGTCCTGATACAGTCTATAGACAAGACAGGATTTTGAGATGAAAAACGAGGCTGTGTCCATGAGATTGAGGCTGGATAGTTTAAAAAAAAAATTATCTCGTTATTTTCTTATATGATTAGTTAGTTGATTATTCTTTCGATTAGGTCAGTGAATATGGGATTTTTTGAATACATTTGACCAAAACAAAATAAGTGATTCCCCTAGAAAACCTCTTCGTAGCGATGACTTGTTATACATTGGTTAGTTGCAAATAATCAATGAATTTAAAACAACATTTGGCTCCAATGTGACTATACTTTTAACTGATTAATCTATGATCATCTGTAACATTATTTGTTGGAACTACAGCTTCTCAAACCCAACTCTGGTGTTTGCTTTTTCCCAAACCAAATGTGAACACACTGGCAAAGAATCTCCCGAGATCGTATTCCACATTTGTGTGCAATCTGGTGGGAAATTGCGCGGTTTTCTGGCACGTGATATTGTGTTTTGAAAAGCTGTTCTGGTCTCATTTGCGTCTAACCGGAACAATGGTGTGAGTGTAAACTGTGCATTTGTGACCTAAGCTGAGTCCGCCACCGCACTTGGACGTGATGGTCGCTGGGACGAGACCATATGTCGACTTTGGGATTAAATCAGATCAAGAAAAGCTAAAGTGTGCTTCTCTCACTTTTGCCCATATGACGTTGGACTGCTCATTTCACTTTCAAACTACAGGACATATAACAATTCGGAACAATTCGGAACAATTGGATTTCAGTGGGAGAGACTGTTTTCAAAGCAATATCTGAGAACCACCATCAACTGATGAAGTTTGGTATTTTACTGAAGATTGTTGACGAGTTTTATGAAAGATCTGAACATGTTTTATGAGTTTTCTGAGTTTTTGAAGTATTGAGTTATGAAGCTATGATGCTGTTTATCAATCCTGATGGTCACACGTGAATATGTGACCGGGGGGATTTAGATATTTCATGACACTTTGAAGCAACTGTGGTTAAAGTTCTAACTCCGTGTTCGTGTTGTCTCTACCAACGACAATAAAACATGTCTTCTGTCTGAATTAAAGACACAATCCCAGACTTTGTCATCTTCTTCAATAGAAATGGCCTCCTCTTTAGATGAGCTTCTTCAGGGAGAACTCTTAGTACTTCTCAGAGTACTAAGAGTCGTATAGTCACTGGCAGGGCTCTTTCAAAAGATATAACATTGCTGCATTCAAGACGGTTGTGACATGGGTTTGTGAAGAAACAACAAGTTACGCAGCTTTAAAAAGCATGTGCTTGGTGGTGGACTCATAAAGTTATTACAGTACTCTCCAACTTTCTTCCTGCCTGTGACACATGCAGCTGTATACAGTACAATTACATTTCTCAGAACATTGGACAATCTCACTTACATTTATATGCAGCTGATACCGTCCTTTATGCTCACAGCCCATGTCTCAGTACTATTTTTTTACCCCTTCTCTGTTGTTATTTACCCATTCTCGCAAAGAATCCCGGTCCATAGTAACCCGTCCAGTCAATCTCGACAAGACAAGCTCTGTATTTTACATTTTATTTGTGCTTTGCTGGATGACACCAGTTCCAGTAAGTCTTGTTTGGATTATTTTGCTTCATTCAGAGACGGCCGTAGGTAGAGGTAGTTTCATAGCAACCAAAAGGGAAAGCGTCATTTACACAATAATGGATTGATGAGCAATATGAGACTTCTGATCTTTTTGAATGAATATTGAATTGGGCGATGAGTGCGTTACTTTCCATTGAATTTAACATAAGACAGGCATGTCCAAACTCCATTGCGGCCCTCTGTTCCATTTTATGTGGCCCTTCTGCTGCTAACACAAAGTCGCCATTGAGTCACTTTGATAATGTCATCCAACCAACTTCAGCTCCACCAATACAGTCATGCTATAGTTAACCTCAGACTCTCTGGAATCCAGTTGTTGACTTTATTGTCCCAACATTTCAATTAAAATGCAGCTGTGAATCAATAAGAACGTATCCTAACCCAATTTAATCACCAGAATCCAGTCAATCCAGTTTTTGAATCCAGGTTGTCTGCCCCAAGTCAAGTCTGATGAACTAAAGCGGCCCTCTCACTACAACGTTTGGACACCCCTGACATAAGAGGATTCCACTTTTCTGCAATCTGCCTCCTTCACTCCACTGTAGTAAACATATAGTCAGCTCAGAATATAGCCCGTCAAATGAGCTTTCAGTTTGTTGGTGCTGTGTGCGTTCTGTCTCCATGTAAACACGCTGTGGGTCAGCTCTGCCTCTCACTGTCTACAGACGGCTCTTCCTACAGCCCGACCATCTGTGCCGCCCTCTGTGCCAGGCCTCCATGTGCCAGACCTCCCCCTCGTCTTCCTCTCCCCTTCCTCTCCCAACAAACCTGTCATTGTGCCGCGTTCCTCCGCAGTGCAGCCTGAAGGGTCCGTGTGCGTCACTGCGATCTAAAACCCCTCTCTGTGGACGATCAGAGGGAACTCATGGTCATGGTGTGTTATCATGTGTTTTAGCGGTTTGGACCGGGACTGAACCCTTTTGCTACGTCTAATTGAGATTGGTAGACACATGAAAATGCTGATCACAGAATTAGCGACCCAAATTGCATTTTATATGAACTTCTAAGCAATAACTTCTGGTATGAAGTGAAATACTGTGTTACACGTTTGGAAAAAAGGCTACTTCATCAAATCTTTCAGTAGAAAATGTTTCACTTGTTTCTCAGAGGGTGAAACATTCTTATCGGCGACGGCTTTATCTTTGTCAAAGCAGTGCAGCTGGAAATGTAACCGTTGGTCCTCGTGCCTCGTGATTACAGGCACAGGACAGATCCAGTTTGTAACCACGTTCCTCTGTGTGTTTCAGCTGAGCAGTATCAGCAAAGCCATCAACTCCACCGAGACGCCCGTCAAGGAGAAGCATGCTCGCCGTATCCTTTACAGCTGTGATCTCACTGATAATCATTATGTCACCGTGAGGAGGAGCTGAGATCGTACAAGGGACAATGGATGAAATGTGGAATGTTTGTTGTTGATTTTATTTTATTCAATATCCAAAAAGATGCTCCATAAAACCTCCAGCTCCAGTTGATCAACCGAGCATCAACATCTGGAGATAGGTCCTCCGACGGGTTGTCCCAGTCGAAGGATGGGTCCAATGCATAGGACCAATTTATCACACACTGCCAGCTAAAACTTATGCAACCATGACATTCTGCAGCCTTTATCAACACTGTAAGTCATTCTCATCAAAGTATGTTATATAGAATTCAAACAAGCATAAAAAGTATTTCTCATCTTCTCATTGTTTTCTATTCACTTTATGTTGACCAAATAGGGGACATTGGGCCATTTCCAAAGGTACACCATGCAACATCTCAAGGCTCACTAACGTTCCGTGGCACACTGGTTGAAAAACACTGCCTTAACCAATAGTTAACCATCTAACAAGGTCTCATTTTAATTTACGATGGTGACCCGGTCAAGCCTGATGCATCAGACCGTTTAATTTCACTTCATTAAAACGGTTTGAAAACACAAAGTTATAATTGACTCCCCAGTGAGCGGGTACCTTCTTTGCTTCAACAATCAGCTGTGTTTAATCGCGACGAATGTAGGAAGCAGAGCAATAACGTCTTTAACACTCTCCAAACCTCTTTCTTCTGTCTCTATATCCTCAGTTTCGGGATTGTCGCAAACGCAGAATGTTTGGCTTGGGTTTGGCTACTTCTCTGAGCCGTCTGCATTTCTGCGATATCTGACCAGGTCGCAGGAGTGAAATGAAACTGAGCAGAGGCACTGGTCCAGAACCAGATCAAAACCAGTGCTGGGAAGGACACAGTACTTACTCTAAAATATAAAAAAAGGACGTAGGACACGCACAGATATATCATTCAATTCTGTATCAAATACCACAACTTTAACCCACATACATAGTTAACACGCACTTTCATAATTTCAATAAATAAATGCATTACTAAACTAATAACATTTGATTTTTTTTTACCAAATGCATAAACTATGGTTTTAACCCCACACCCCTGACTAATACTGTGAGCTCAATATCTTAGCATTTTGCCTTTTTTTAAGCGCAGGTTTCCCGTGGGGCTTTCCCTGATCTAATGCTGCAGTTTCTCTGACTGACGTCCCATGAAGTTGTTCAGCGGTTTTCCACTCTGGCGACCAACACTGAAAAGCTGACTCCAGAGGTTTCAAGGACAGGGGCTCGTCCCCATGAACTGGGAATAGAAACTTGGATTTAACACATACAGTGGATCTTCAGAAGGATTTCACAAATGTCAAAAATCACACTTTACCCCCACACATTGATGCTCTTCTCCGTGTCTGTGCTTGAGCTTCCTTAACCCGCCACACAGGCATCATCTTGGGCACTCACAGAGAGAAGGGGGCCTACACCTTCTGGTCCTACTCCCTGGGCTTCCCTCTGGCCGGCAGCTCCATCCTCAGCTGGAAGTTCTGCCATGTGCTCCACAAAGTGCTGAGAGACGGGCACCGCAATGTAAGGGCATGAACATGGTGTGTTTAACTGCTTTACTGCTCTGTATTTATCTGGCTGTTCTTTTAGGTTCTACAAGACTGCATGAGGCACCACGGCAGCCTGGTGGAGGTTGGGAAAATGTGGGTAAGTCCTATCAATGTTTGAGAAGTTCACTATATATTCATCCCTCTGGTTCTCATCCAACTCCACTGGCTCCACATGAACCACAGAATCCAGTTCAAACTCTTCTTTCTTACTTTCAAAGCACTTTATAACCTGCCCCCTCATACCTGACTGACCTGCTCCACCCACACAAGCCGTCCCATTCTTCATCTGCTGCTCTCCTCCCTGTCCCCAATGTCAAAATGTCCAAAAATGGGGGCTTAAGCTTTCAGCCACTCTGCCCCCAAACTCAATTCATCTGCGACACTTTCAAATCACAACAAATGTATTTTATTCTGTATATTTATTATTTTGTGTGATGCTATTGTAAGAGAATAGAGCAGAGCTGTGCGGTGAGCTGAGGGAGGGGAGGCAGGAAGTCAGTGGGGGAGACCCATGTCTGCGGTGAGCGGCTTTGAGAGAAAAGCAGGCCCGAAAAGCATGTTTGTCAGATCGAAGTCCTCATGGGTGGCACGGTGGCTGAGTGGATAGCACTCTCGCCTCTCAACAAGAGAGGGTTCGCCTCTCAACAAGAGAGGGTTCGAGCTTGCGTAGGTTTCCTCCGGGTACTCTGGTTTCCCCTACCACTAGGTTAAATCCTCCAGCTCAGGTAGTCCTGACCAAGCCGAGCATCAACATCTAGAGATGGGTTCCCAGGCGCTGTTACTACGGCGACCACTGCTCCTGACGTCAGCCTTAGCGGCATCAGGATGGGTCAAATGCAGAGGATTGAATTGACCTACGGGGATCAATAAAGTGCATCTTTAAAATACAAAATACGGAGACTCTTTAATTCACTCTCCCTCTGGGGCAGGACTCCCCTGAAAAAGAGATTCTGAAATATCAACAGGATGAATATGGTTAAATCAAGAACTACACAAATTTTTGAGTAAAATGTTTTTTTTCTTGTCAAAATTACCACTGCTTTTTGTGTCCAGGCCCATCTTCACGACAAATATGGCCAGCTCGTTGGCCTTTACACAAAGCTGCTCTGCACCAAAATGGAGTTTCACACAAAGGCAAGTGGTTCTGTTGGTACAGGGTTTAATCACAAACTGGACCCGAGTGGATTTTAACTTTCCCACTCCACAGCATCACACCATCCCCCCAAACCTCGAGATCACAGACGAGGACTTGGAGCGCGCCGCTGGCTCAGATATAAACAATGTGTAAGTCACCACATGCATTTACATTAGAAGGACACACTGCTTTCTCTCCTGTTGGCCAAGATAAAATATTCACTTTTCTGTCTAAAAATCTGATCTAAAAATGTGACGGAGGCCAAAAATATTTGAGTGCCGTGTAGCAACTAGTGATAGGACCGAACTGTTTTGAGAGCGAGATACTAGTTCCATGGATTATTTTATGTTTTGTAACCATTTGAAAGTGTGTTGGGGACTTGGCCAACATGTCTCTTTATTGCCGCCCCTCACTCTGGTGTTGTGTCCCCAGGTTCCAGCTCACTGTGGAGGTGTTTGATTACATGGACGGGGAGCTGCGTTTGGCCGATACAGGTGAAAAACCCCAGAGTAACCGGAGCCGCCAGCTCTGCTCCAGACATTATATATTCATGCACTGGGCTCCGCCAGACTGCAACAGGGACTTATCCCATTGTAGACTCCCCTCAGCAGTTGATATTGTGCCGCGGGGCTTTAATTAGTGCTAAGTTGTGAGGAAATGCCAGCAATTATTGAGTATTAAGCCTTTCCTCTGCAGCGCTGCGACGGTATGTTGCACTGATGATCAGTGACAATGCTCAAAATAATACATATCACATGCCACTCTGCAAAGAAGTAATAAAAGTTAATAACTGTAGTAAGTAGTACGTGAGTTTATTACCATGTAGTGTGCACATGGAGAACAGGATTGGCCAATGGAACAAGTTTAGAATGTAGTGTAATGCTTGGGTGAGGGAGGATTAGTAACGGCATGACGTTCTTTCTCTGGCTGTTGTCAGATTGGGCAGATGTCGTCCTAAGGAAAAGACACAGTATTCATTTAAAATCATAGACTGTGTTTAGATGAACAATGCTAACATGCTAGCAGCAGGCAACAATGGGAACAATAGGAACTCGTTCCGGCTCCTATTGACTTACATTGGAAAGTAAACTCCTAGTTTGGTAAACGTTTTTGTCACGTTCATCCTTTTGGACCGTGGTTTCTGCACTCTTCGTGATCCTGATCTGAGCCATAAGGACTGAGGGTGACGTCAGCACTCTGTCAATCCACTTCTAAGATATGGTCTATGGTCAGAATACTATACTAATACTAATACCTAATGGATTACCGTGGCTCTTTGGTGCATTCAGGGTTGTAATCAAAGCGTCAACCTGGATGAATGCTTAGAACCAGCTTTGTGCAAATACCTTCTTTTAAAAATGTCTGCTCTGTTGACTGTACATCACTTGATAATGATGTAACGATGTAAACAAGAGAGAAGCTCAGGACCTGTTCAACAATCTGCTGTTTTCTAGACCACAAATAGTCCATACATTAGGGATGTCAAACAATTACATTTTTGTTGTTTATTAATCGCATAGTAATGGTGAGATAACTCACGATTAATCGCATTCTTAACATTCCAATGGAAGTTAAATGAGATGTAATGACACATGTCATTCAGACCAAATGTACGTAAGTCTGTTTGATTCACAACCTTTTACTTTTGGGCACAACCAACATGATCTGTTAATGAAATGGAACATTTACGTACCCCAGCTTTAATTTAGCGAGTTTAGTTTTGTTCCATAGTCCAGCTTCAGTATATGTGTATTTATTGCTGCACAGTTACGCACAGGTTACGCAAAGACACACAACATGCAGAGAATATTTCTGTGCGTACGGTCTTGGACCACGTTACCGCGGCGCCGTTCGGCGTGTTGTTGTTAACGCCCACGGAGGAGGCGCACTTCAGTTCATAGCAAACAGCAAGTGCCCCGCGGTCACTCGCAAATTCTTTTAAAACTAATTCCCAGAGACCTGCTCTGTTGCCATTTCACACACGCAAGTGTCTGCGGCATTCTGGGTAATATTTTGTGATGCATGGGTCATTCTGAGTTATATTTTGGGATGCATGGGCGGGTCATTTGGACATGCATCAATGCATTAAAAAAGGTTTAGCGCGATAATGAAAAATGTAATTAACGTGCGTTAACGCAATAATGTTGACAGCCCTACCATACAGTACTGTCTGTTTAAATCCGGGGAAATGAACATTTTACTTGAAGAGAAAGAGCTGTGTGAGTCACTATTTGATGCTTTTGGGCTGTGAGCTCACTTTCTGTTTTACAGTGGCTTGCTTTTAATTTAGCCATGTCCACTTGTAATGCAGTTTTATCATTAGTTACAATTTAATTAAAATACATAAGATCATCTTCATATGACTTTTTATGTATATTTCTTTCCAAATGTATCCTTATAATAATTATTGTTCTTTTAGTTATTCGACAGCTGAACACGTCCATCGCCATCTCCAGCCTGACTTCAGGCCAGTGCCGTCTGTCTCCCCTGGTGCAGGTGATCCAGGACAGCAGCCAGCTCTACCACTTCACCGTCAAGCTCCTCTTCAAGCTGCACGCATGTGAGCGCTTCATTCATAAAGCGCATTTTAGCAGTGTTTACATACACAAGAATACTCCCACTGTGGTTAGATGTGGAAACAATATTCAAAAAAAGTTTGCATGAAAAGGAATGGCAGACATAAGAATAATATGTGGGTTTGTGAATCAAGTAATGATCTGGGAAAATATTTGAACAGGATATTGTGCTAGCTTTCTTTAAAAAATGTCTTCAGCTGAAACCTATTGTTAAGCTGATTAGAGAAGCCTAATAACCTAATAATTTTTGAGTTCTTTGAGTGTCCAGTTGGTGCTCTGGCCGCAGCATTTGTGATTGGCTTCAGTGGCAATGTTTGAATATTTGTGTATTTAGTGTTTGCATGAGAAGATAGAATCAGTGTTTGTGTTCGATGCTGTCTCTCAGGTCTCCCCGCTGACACTCTCCAAGGACACCGGGATCGCTTCCACGACCAGTTCCACAAGTATGTGACCTCTGGCTCCAGGCTACATCAGTGCAAGTGGAAAAGAAGCATTATGTGCCCAAAAGAAGGCTGCAACCTAAGCCTGCCTCGCCCAATCCATACGTCACCCATGCAAATGTTCCCAGGACACAAAGCCACACCCAGTGGCTTTTACAGCATACAGCTGTGTTTTAGCAGCTATAGAGGGTTCCGTGGCCTATGTCACAGGTGTGGGATTAAACTGGAGGCAGAGAACATGAAGGACTCATTGTGGCTTTGAACCACATCGTAAATTGCAGATACCATGTACAGATATTTCTAGAGATGTCTTTGAGAAAATGTAGTTTAAAATAACTGCATAAGTATACTGTGGAATATACAGCGTGAACATCCATAAATGTGGAAGTTCTGAAAATTAAAATAATAAAATAATTGTTTTATTAAGAGAATTTATCCATTTGAAAACGTAACACTTCAATATGACAGTCAATGAAAAGGTTGTTTTAGTCCATACTTGATATTTTGTTGTTAAAATGTTGAATAAATGTTTGTCCTCTTTATCTTCTAGACTAAAAAGCTTCTTCAACAAAGCCCGAGACATGATTTACTTCAAGAGACTAATCCAGATTCCTCGGTTACCAGATGTAAGTCCAGCTCCCATCTGTGTGGCAGCAGAAAACACTTATATTTACTCAAAACACAGCTTTAATCTTCCCTTTCCTCTCAGACGCCTCCAAACTTCCTGCACGCTGCGTCTCTGGCCAAACACAAGAAGCTGGTCGTGGTGATGGCCGACCAGGACGAGCAGGTGGACGATGACGACGACGATCCCGAGCCGCTGATTGACGTGGAGAGTAGCCCCGCCCCCGTGGCTCAGGCCCCACAGCCGGTACAGCAATGTCAATGTTAATTTTATCTGTATAGCACATTTACAACAACACCGGCTGCCCAGAGTGCTTCAGAGGCCAGGCTAATAAAAACAGGGTTAGAAAAGAAAACAGCATGAAATACAAACACATACATGTAAAAATAAAATGGTGAAACTCAATTGGTGTTAAAATCCAAGGCGTAAAAACTCCCAATGAAGGAGCTGCTCTAATGAGCAGAGGTCACTATTCCACAGTTTGGGGGCAGCAACAGAAAAGGCTCGGTCTGGTCTGGTCTGGTCTCCACAAGTTTTGAGATGAGACCGATGAGACCAACAACAGCTGGTTTTCAGACCTCACTGATCTGACAGGAGCATACAGAGATTACAGCTCTGACAGATACTCCACACTGGATACAGATGTAATAATATGTAATATCACAGTGAGTGCGTTGCCAAAGCACTAACACTGAATTGATAAAGACAGATGTAAACTTGTGCGTGCCACTTCAGGTGTGAAAAACCAGTCCTGTAAAACCGGATCAAACCATTTCCACTTAGTTTCCGCTGGCATGTTGCCACACAGTCTGGACACTATTGGGACAAGGCCAGCTGCTGCATTTAAGAGCATTCATAACAGTATTCATAACAGTTGTATGTATTCGGAAACCTAAAGGGGACTCATTTTGATCACTTTGATGATAAATGCTGCAGTTTAGCATTTATGAAAATCCAATGCTCAGAGTAAACAAGCTGCATGCTTACATTTACCAAAAGTGTGTGGATACAGTGTATGTGATAGCAATTATATTTACAATTACTGTTCTAAAGTTGGTAATTGAAAGTGTCACAAGGCTCAGTCAGTCAGAGCAAAAGTATGTTTTAATAACCTGCTTGCTATGCTTTTTATGTCTTGCTTTAGTCTGTGGACATCTTTGACCAGGCGTTCGGCCCTCCTAATGGAGCCTTCGATGACAGGTGAGTCATAGTGTCCTCCAAACACGCTCCTGGGTTTCACTTTTGTGCCTGCGTCAGCTCTTTCTGTCTGTCTAATGAACTCAATTTCACCACGGTGGAACAAATAAAAGTGATTCTATGTTCTTTTAACAGAGACCTGCAAATAGATAGTTTGAAGAGGGACCTGGAGCTGTTGAGAGCAGAGTTGGAAAGAGTCAAGGCAGAGGTAAGTTCAAATTCACCCACTGGCATCTTTGCATTTCCCCATTCATCTCCCTGCCCCTGTTATGTTATTGGAACCAACGAGGCCGCTGTGGTTGTAGTCACACTGCTTTGATGGTAAGTCTGAGAATGAATGAACAATGTCTGCGATCAAAGGCAGTATTGTTCATGTCACCAAGAAGTCTGTCTGTAAAGTGCTTATCCTAGTCGCCTTGAGAAGTCCTCATAAATGTGTCCCAATCCCCTGGGTCCTTGTATATGTATAAACACAGACCTCAAAACAGGTTTCTACAGTGTAAAATGTTCAGATGTGTTGGCTACATTCTGCTGAGTACGACAGAAAGAGTCTCATGTGTTGGGAGGACGTCACCGCCTCGTCGTCACATGTGGAATGTAGCAGGCTGCCTGGAAACATCTAAAGTCATACTCACAGCGTTTACATAAAAAACAAACATCCAGACAACCCAGACATGTCAGCTGAGGTGTCATGGATCCAGTTTCCGAAATCACGTTAAAGGAGATGTATGTATAAAATGGACAACACTGTGAATTTGAATGCTAGCATAAGGATATAGTAGGTTAGCCAACAGCTTTATTTACCTTTTGATACTTGTTTGAGCATATATTTCCTGCTGAGGATATTATTTCACATTCTAACACCTGAAATGAAAGGTAAATCAGTAAAAAGTCTTGTTATATTGATTTAATGGCAAAAATAATGCAGAATATTGCTTCTTTAACACAACCGGTCATAACTGTTGTCCAATGTCTGCTACTGTTACACATCACAAGAAGCACTTTAATAAATTGTACATTATTTTTTTGCTGATAAGTGATAGCAAAACGTCAGATATTTGATTTAGGTAAATATTAGTGCATTTTCTCGCTCTGCACTGGTAAATACTGGGAATAGAGTGGTCACACAAAGGTAAATTGTTCAGCGCAGTCCGAAGTCTTGGTTCATGTCAATGTGGGGCTGTTTCTTCCACCTGTAGGCCCAGCACTACATCACTCAGCTCAAATCTCAGATCAACAGTTTAGAGGCTGAGCTGGAGGAGCAGAGATTGCAGAAGCAGAGGGCGCTGCTGGAAAACGAACAGCTGCGGATGGAACTGGAAGCAACACGCCGAAGGAACGCGGAGCACGAAGGCCTACAGTCCACCTTCCTGGAAGCAGAGAGTAAGATTGTTAAGTGCCTCGTGTCTGACGCTAAAGCACATGTCATTAGAGCTTTATTATCTCTGCTTCCAGAACGATCCCAGGCCTCTGAGCAGCGCTACAACATGCTGAAAGACAAGCACACAGAGCTGGTGGCCAGTCACGCAGAGCTGCTGCGAAGGGTACAGTTCATACACCACACTTTATCGCCGCAATTATCACGTTTTTTTATTTTTGAAATTTAGAGTACTTTTAATCATTTTGTCCAATTGTTTATTCCGTTTTAATTGAGAAAAATCCCCATCAAGGAAAGCTTTGTGTTTAAATTAGCTGGGGGGATTTCTCCTGTTCATATTCCTGGGAATGCCTATTACATGTGATAGACCCAAAAACAACTGTAGACAATCATAAACCACATTTCTACCACGAGAAAATGAATGAATGGTTTTAGTCTGCTGTTAGCCAGGCTTGATGCGTTCCACTGCGTCTCTTCATTTTACACCGTGCTGTGTTAGATGCTTGTTGTAGAGGCAGTACTTCCCACTTACAGTATACCTCTTGATGGGGATGTTGTATTCATAAATTGCCAAAATGATCAAAAAGAATCAAAGTAAATAGTTGAAAATGACAGTATTCCATCTGAACACATGGACTGCAGTCGCTCAAAGCCTTGTCTTGCAGAGCGCAGACACCATGAAGATGCTGTCGACGACGCAGCAGACTCAGGACGAGGTGGAGCGAACCAAGCAGCAGCTGTCCTTCGAGATCGACCGCATCCGACAAGAGGCCGACATGAAGGTCAGTCTGGCTGCATACAATCAGGGAGCCACATCCTCTAATGTCCAGGCCTCAGACCATTTGGATCAGTCATCAGTCATCAAATACATATTGATCACATAGAGTTTGATCCATTTTAAATTCTTGACTGCATTATACTGGGGGAAGTGTTTGTAGTTTGTCACTTCATATTAATGCATTTTTTCACAACTTTAAAGATATGGCGGGAGCAGGAAGTAATGCACATTTGTATTGCACTTCCTGTTGCCCAGACAACAAAAGGGTCTTTAATGTTAAAATCTGTTGAAACTGTTCTCTGCCACACATGGGACAAAATAACATGGCATTCTTTGATTGTGTGTCTGTGTGTGTGTGTGTGTGTGTGTGTGTCTGTGTGTGTGTGTCTATCTGTGTGTGTGTCTGTCTGTGTGTGTCTATCTGTTTGTGTATCTGTTTGTGTGTCTGTGTGTGTGTCTGTGTCTGTCTGTGTGTCTCTGTGTCTTTGTGTGTGTCTGTGTGTGTATCTGTTTGTGTGTCTATCTGTTTGTGTGTGTGTGTGTGTATCTGTGTGTGTGTGTGTGTGTGTGTGTGTGTAGATGGAGGAGCAGAAGTTTGAGATGGAGAAGCTGCGGCGGGAGCTGGAGGAGAAGAGGACAGAGATGATGCGCATCAACTCCACGCTTCAGACCTCAGAGCAGGTGCAGCCCCTCCCCCTCCCACTCACACACACTGTCACACACACACTGTCACACACACACTGTCACACACACACTGTCACACACACACTGTCACACACACACTGTCACACACACACTGTCACACACACACTGTCACTCACACACACAGTCACTCACACACTGTCACTCACACACTGTCATACACACACTGTCACACACACACTGTCACACACACACTGTCACACACACACTGTCACACACACACTGTCACACACACACTGTCACACACACACTGTCACTCACACACACAGTCACTCACACACTGTCACTCACACACACACTGTCACTCACACACACACTGTCACTCACACACACACTGTCACACACACACTGTCACACACACACTGTCACACACACACTGTCACACACACACTGTCACTCACACACACACACTGTCACACACACACTGTCACTCACACACACACTGTCACTCACACACACACTGTCACTCACACACACACTGTCACTCACACACACACTGTAACTCACACACACTGTCACTCACACACACACTGTCACTCACACACACACACTGTCACACACACACTGTCACTCACACACACACAGTCACACACAGTCACTCACACACACACTGTCACTCACACACACACTGTCACTCACACACACACACTGTCACACACACACTGTCACTCACACACACACTGTCACTCCAGGCCATGACTTTAGTGTAGACAGCTGCAGCATTACTCATAAAGTGTCATGCAGTGTTCACTTCTGTCATTCTCTCATTTGAAGTGCTTTTCAGTTTTTATTTCATTGTTTTGGTGGATTGACACCGGATTAAACTTTTTAGGATGAGTTCTGCTTATCCATATAGCGTCATGTCCTGAGCTCTTTAAGTTTGTCACAATTAAGAACCAATTTTTTTTTGGTAACCGTATAACACCATCTAATAAACTGGGCCAAAACTTCTCCAATGCTTTCAGACAGTTAAATTAACAAGTATTCTTAAATGTAAAAAGTAAATTTTGTCTCATGTTTAAGGCTTAGAACAGGGGTGTTGAACTCATGTTGGTCAGGCGCCGAATAAAAAAAATAGGAACTGGTTGGGGCCGAAACAATAGAAGAGATTTCCTTTTCTTACAATTATGAAGGTATTCTAACGTGACTTTGTGAGTTTCACTGTTATTTTTTTGTTGATTTTTCTGAAAACAAAATGTGTTTGTTTAGATTGAACCAAAACTTGATCAAATATAAAGTTAAACACATTTTATATTGAGCTATTTAACTTCTGATAATGTGTTATTGGATTAAAATGTTAGAATATATTCAATTTGGTTGTTGTCCCGAGAAAATAAATGATGTATGACCTTCCTTTGTCGCCCATTGCCATCGCCCTTAAGTCAATAATACAAATGTTAGGGGCCACTAAAAATTGTCGCGCTGGCCGCATCTGGCCCCCGGGCCTTGACTTTGACACCTATGGCTTAGAAGGTTCTTTTAAGTAAAAAAAAAAAACACTACTAGCTTTCTTTACTTTTTTTGTCTTATTAAAACAACCTTCTAAGCCTTAAACATGTTTTCTTGTTTAATCTGTCAAATAAAACTGTCTGAAAGCATTGGAGAGGTTTTGGCCCAGTTTATCACATGGTGGTACACGGTTTCTTGGTAACATTGGTGAAGGTGAAGTCATCCTCTGCAAGTAATATTCTTTTTTTCCTAAAGTCTATCCAGTAAATCCATAAATTGCCAGTTTCTCCTGTAAATTAACTCCAAGTAGTAGAAGTGGGACATAAGCTACATTTCCATAAATTGTTCTCACATTTATTTCTTCTATTGATTTCTGTTATGGATTTTAGTAGTGTACTATCTCTTATGGAGACTGAGAGCTCCACCTTTTGTCTGTATTTGAATGTTAACCCTTTTGACATTTAACAGTTAATTTCCGTATTAAACGTGTCACCGTGAACAGAGTAAATGTTGTGTCTGAAGTGACCCTGGTTCTTGTGCTCAGGCCTCTGTGCAGATGAACAGCTCCATGTCAGCTCTGCAGGCGGAGAAAGAGCGGCTGATGCGCTCGGTGAGTGAGCGGGAGGCCGAGCTGTCGTCGCTGCGTCAGTCCTCTCAGCTGCAGCAGTCGTCTCTGCAGCAGGAGCGGGACAAGAGCAGCCGCGAGCTGGGGGAGCTGCAGACCAAACTGCAACAGAAGGTCTGCTACACTGCATCATCAAACTCCACTACTGCATCATAGACACACACTCACTCACACAGACGCACACGCAATGCACACAGACGCACACGCACTGCAAACAGACTGCAACACTCACTCACACAGACACACATTCACTCACTCACTCGAAGGTCAGTTGTTTTTCATTCAAACCAATTATCGGCCCCTGACAGCCCTCACCATTGGCCAACTATCCTCATCTGGCAAATCTTACTGACAGTGATTATGCCGAGGGGAGGGACTGCTTTAAATAGATATAGAATATATCTATTTATATAGATATTAAATATATATGAACATATATATTATGTTCATATATATATATATATATATATATATATGAACATATATATATATGAACATAATATATATGTTCATATATATTTAATATCTATATAAATAGATATATTAGGGCTGTCAAACGATTACAATTTTTTAGTTGATTAATCGCACAGAAATGGTGAGTTAACTCACGATTAATAGCATTTTTAACATTCTATTTCAAATCCACTCCAATTGAAGTTAAATGAGATTATCAAATATAATGTATAAAACACATTGTCATTCATACCAAATGTACTTAAATCTGTTTGCTTTTGGGCAAAACCAACATGAGCTGTTAATGAAAGGGGGAAATTTACATACCCCAGCTTTAATTCAGCGTTTCAGTTTAGTTTAGCTTCAGGAGGAGACAGGGACACTCCTGCGCTGTATTTGCGCGCACAGGTTACG